CAATAGGTTTCATGGGGTTTCCTTTCCAGCTAATCTAGCTCAATTTTGGGGTGCCTTTCAAATGACCCCACTGACCACACCCACCAGCGGCTGCCTGCCAGACTTACATTTCCTTACATGGGTATGTACACGAATCATTGCTATATGCATGAAAATTGGTTTCCTTTCCAGCTAGGCTGACCCCCCTGGGCTCCCGGTCTAATATATATATCTAATGGTTGTTTATGAACTCGTGTGTCGAGAGTGCTCAATACTACCATGAGTAGAGCAAATATAGATAAAGTTATACGGACACGGTAGTAATTTTGACTCTGTTTATTGCATACAGAACTGTTTCGTATGGAGCGAAGGCTCCACACTCATCAGTGCCTAATACAGAGTGATCTATTTAGAACATCCCGAGCAGTATAAAAACATCATGCATAATGTGATCTATTGTTCGTATTCATGCGTGCGCGTTCTAAAGAAATACCATAGATACTAATTAGCGCGTCATTGTCGGTGACTGCTGCGCGCTGGCGCTAAACTGAATTCATTGTAAGAGTTCACATAACGTTCCTTAATGAAAATTTATCTTTATGTCTGCATTTACTAACAAGTTCGTTTCTCTTGTTCAGTGTCGCGGTCTTAGGTTTGCACAATATGTCGAACTTCTCTGTTAAGCATAGGTTGCATTTCTTCGTAGTGTTCGAGTAGTGTGTGCGCTTTGCTCAGTATCTTTCATTTGATCGCGTAGTCTAGGTTGTTGTCTTCCAAGTTCCAAATATGTTTACTAAGCTCTGTCGAGTTCCGTTTTGATTCCGTAGTGAAGGATGCCTTACGGTTCGCTAGTCTTGCTTTGAAGGAGGTAGCTGTTAGTCCGAAGTATGTTTCTGTGTTGTTTTCGCTTGTCACTGTTGCTCGGTATACTATGTCCTTAGCAAGGCAGTTTCCATCCAGGGGGCACGTTACGTTTTTCGGGCAGTTGCATTTTCTGTTGTTTACCGTTTCCGTGTTGATCCGCAGTATTCTTCTGTTGTTTCCCTCTATTATATTCTTCACGTTCGGCATGCAGCTGTACGAGATCTTAACATGGTTCTTATTGAAAATCTTGTGGAGTTTGTTTTCTGGAGGGAAGCACTTGTTTACGATTTATAGAAATTCCTTGCCAACGTTGGTTTTCACATTTTGGTAGTATGGCTAGTTGTACCAAATGATATTGCGCGCTCTGTTTCTTTTTCCGGTTGACAGCAACAACAGCAACAAGAGAGAATACAACGGAGCAGAATCGGGCGAACTGGTGGTCTGCTACATGCTGTCCCTACTACAACCGAAGTATGGGAATTCGATGGGTCTATACAGAGACGACGGCCTCGACTCTAAACAAGACACCAAAAGAAATCGAAAACGCAAAGAAAGACATTTGCAAAATATTTTGGGATAATGGTCTACGAATAACGATCGAAGCGAACAAAAGTATTGTAAATGTTTTGGATGTGACACTTCATTTGAGCTCGGAACAATACGTACATGAAATCAAACAACAAATTGCAGTATGTTAACATCAATTTTAACCACCCACCGGCCGTTCTGAAGAATATCCCCATTGGCATTAACAAGCAACTCTCCGAGATATCCTCCAGCGAGGAAATTTTTGAAAAAGCGGCGCCCACATATCAACAATGTAATAATGAGTTCCTTAGCCGTCTTTTATCCGTGATCGTATGAGTGGACTCCGTATATTATTAGAGATATCGCTGAGCGCATCATACATAGGTTACTGAACAATGCAGGTACGTGGTTAAAGCACAAACATCTTTACTGATCAAGAATGACGATAACATATAATATGTGCCCATGTAATGAGCAGAACGTGTACAGATGTGTACGCGGCCTACAAAACATAACTTACATATCAAACGTTGGTAGCGGCAGTAACCAGTAACACGTAGTTGTGTTAATGAGCAAGTAGCAGAGACGACTGGGGTCCCCGGGCTGCGTGCACAAAGCTTATATACGGCGTCCTCTCCCTTTGTTTTAGGGTATGGTCACGCTGCATGGGTCGCTCTCTCATTGGCGGCCGCGTACGGGTTCAGCTGCGCTTTTACACAAAGGCGTCCCCCGTACGATGACTACTTCGGTTATTAGGCAATTATCATATTTCTGTCTTATTTATCGTTATCGTTATCCTCTTCTTTTTATTTTTATATTACATTACTCCCCCATCAGGAAAGTTGGGAGTCGTACTAATGCGGTGACCAACTTCTGTCATCGTAGTGATGCGTTGACTTTAATACGTATTTTATTTTAATTTTGGATATTTTTATTTGATTTTAAGTATTTTCATTTTTATTTGCCTTCTTACTTCCATCACCAACATGCTATCTATTTATTACATTTATTTTTTATTTGATTTAACATTTTTATATATTTTTATTTGATATAACATTTTTATATATTTTTATTTGATTTAACATTTTTATATATTTTTATTTGATTTAACATTTTCATATATATTTTTATTTGATTTAACATTTTTATATATTTTTTTATGAGGGGAAAAAAAGTTCCGGCAGCCGCCTTCGTCGTCGTCCTCGTCCTCGTGCTCCTGGTGTTCCTCGTCGTCGTCGTGGTGGTCCGTCGTGCTGGTGCTCATTGGTACCAGCTGCTGCTGTAGAAATCGTTGTCGTTTTCGTCGTCGTCCTCGTCGTCGGTGTAGTCGGTGTCTTCCTCTTCCATGTTCTCCTCGTCGGCGGCTCGTCACGCCCACGGTCGATTTTGATCCTCCAATGCAACTCCGGGTAGTGGTGCCTCTTCTATGGGCACCACTTTTATGGCGGCAGCCTGATCACTCAGGTGCACTGCCGTGTACCCGAGATTGTGTCGTCGGAACCCGAGGACATCGTGTAAGAATGCCCCCAGGTGGTAGACGCCATCTGTTCGTTCGTCCCGGGAAAAATGAGGTGCGGCGTCGTCCGCGGGGCTCTGTAGCGGCGCTCTGGTGCTGCGTTCGCCGGCGCTGCCCTGTTGCCTGGCCTGACCGTGGCGATGATCGGCGCGCTCTGGAGGCAGCGTCGACATGGACACAGTGTGCACCGCGTGCACATTGTGGCGGGGATGTTGCGGGTCGACGCTGTCGCGTAGTGGTCGTCGTGGCGGTCATCTGCTCACAATACCGCTTGTGGGGCGGCTCCTCCTCCATGTTCTGTGCTGTTGCCTCCTCGTGGGGGTGGCGCCCGGCGCCGTCATTCCGGTTCTGGAACTGGTGGAGCGCCTCCTCCAACTCGTCCGTCCAGTCGTCTCCGTCGTTACATGGGAGGTGGCTCGTGGCTGATACGATGTTTATACTGACTAATACTTAAAAGTGTCTAGATTAGACTACTGTGATACATTGCGCGTTTATGCCAACATGACAATGGTTAATGCCGATATGACATTAGTAATATCGTGCCTAACATGCACACACCTACAAAAAACAACAACGCCGCACTATACAATTAAAACATGTGCGTTATTGCGTCATATGACTAAATGGAACGCTACTGCTAAACATGATGCTACATACCTGAATACACGTGAAACTTACTGTGTAATAAATTGTGCAACAAACCTTGAAGTTATCTCGTAAACATATAGTGATGTTAACTCGTGAACATATAGTGATGTTAAATCGTGAACATATAGTGCTTTGCACCCTCGTGCGTGATACAACATGTGTTTGTTAGGTACAGGGTAACAAAATGCATCGCTTGTGCATCGTTATACTTATAAACTATGGAGCATCCTTAGTCTAGTCTGCATATTTCTTATTATAACTTTTGGTACGAGGAAGTGTTTTCATCTCCACTTCCTCGTTATTATGTACATTCTCTAACGGATGTGTTCGTTCTCTGTGGAGCATTTAATTCTCCACTTCTTTAGGGTGCAACGTCGGATACAAATGCTGCGGAACGAAGGGCGCGGTTGCATTGACGGGTTGCAATAGGGGTTGTACCGTGGGTTGGAGAATGGTATGAGTCGCTGTGGTACCAGGTGTAGTGAATGACTGACATAGGCGTGGGCGAAGATGTGGTGGCGCGCAGCAACAATATAACACGACAATTGCTATAACAGCGATGGCCACATAGATAACTATCTGATGCCACTGTATATGTGTACTCTAAAAAAATGTCTGAGCCACTTCATTCGTATCCAGAATCCTTCTGCTATTAGCTATGGCATCATTGAGGTGGTCATATGCTATGTCTAAATCATGTGATTTATACAGTTTATGAGGCACTATCAATTGGGGAATGAGGTCGGTGGCATTACCCCTCTCCACAGCCAATTGAGCTAGGTCCGCCCATATTGTAGGTGTCTGGAACGACTTAGGTAAGATGTCGACTAGCGATTTGGTAGGATTTACAGACGAGTCATGAAAATAAAATGTGGGTAAGGTAAGGTCAGCCGAATGAGCACTACAACCCGATTGCAGCGATACAAGTTGACGTGACGCTATTTCTATGTCCGTAATAGCAGGCGCCTGGTCATTGGTAGTCTGACATGAAACAGTTAACCGAAACGTCTTTATTGTTGACAAAAGCCAGTGACCATTACCAATATACCAATATAAGGTCATCCGAATGAGCACTACAACCCGATTGCAGAATGTCCGTAATAGTGGGAGCCTGATTATTGGTAGTCTGACATGACACTGTTAACCGAAACGTCTTCGCCGGTGACAGAAGCCAGTGACCATTACCAATATACGTAATCAGATGCTTAGAGTTAGCACACATCTTGACCCTCCTTTGGCAATAGGTTTGTATGTGCTCGGCTTGCCTTAAAAATAACGGCACTAAACAATTCTTGGACCCTCTAACATAATAGATTTCAGATTCCGCCTGGCAGATGTTATGGGTTTCGTGAAGACACTTACGTACTAAGTTTGGTTCAGGATAAAAAATAACGTGTTTTATCTTGCGCAAATGCAACGTATTCCTTATCTAACACATAATACACGTGTGCTTGGGTGTCATTAATATATTGAGGTGCTGGCAATATTTGGAAAATGTTAAAAATCTGGCCGACATGTTTAAGTGGTAGAAACGTAAGTACATGGAACGAATTATGCACTTGTACAACTATGGTCTGTAATAAACTATAGTAATACAAAATGGTTTCGTCTAATGCTTTCGGCATGGCAAGATAATTTGGGATAAACTGCTTAATGCTCTGTAATATGCTTTGCAAATGGGTTGGGGGTACTAGTGAAATCGGTAACCTGCCCGTAAGACGGCTGGTTAATGAATGTTCTAAGTCCGCGACAATATTCGTGACGTCTTGTAAAGTCAACATCAGCATGTCAATTGTGGTCTGTAATCTAATTATGGCTGCCGTCGTAGTATTAAGAGTAATAGTCAAAGTTAGTAGCTGCTCGTTTATACTATTGACAAACTGTCGCATCGTCTCAACGCCCTTGATTAATTCGTTTAAAGTATCATGATTCAGTTCAACCTGTGTTTTTGTCAGATTAAAGACTGTCAATGAATCTTCTATAGCATGTTGAAATGCCCATTGCGTAATCTCGAACCCAGATAATCTAGCTTGCAAGTCATTTAAATCATCTTCCGTTGCTACTCCATACAATGCTTTTTGAAACCGGCCGATAAATGGTAATAATGATCGCTTGAAGCGATGTCTCGTCGTAGCAAACATAGACGTTAATCCCTCAATGCGCTCTGACAGCCTGTGATATCGCAGTCTGAAATCAGCCGCATTTAAAAAAATAAAAACTTCAATAATCTCACGAAACTGCTCGTTGTTTGCATTGATTTGCTGTTGCTGTTGCATTCGTACTGTGTTGTTCAGCCATAGTGGTGTTGGTGTTGTTGTAACATTCGAAAGTAACCATTTTCCCAACACTCCTCTCAATGTGGGTACATTTTGTGTTGACATGCGATCTCTGTCACTAATGATAGGGGCTCGAGCCGCAGCGGGCGGTGATCGTTTGGTGCGCTGATTAAACAAATATTCTATCTGCTCATCAATCCCCCGCATATAATTCTTTACAGGTGATAAGTCTAACGTAAACACGATCGTCCAACTACTTTGCGTTATAGCGAGCGTCCCTTTAGGTACAAACACTTCTCTTATTAACGTCACTGCGAGCACCAGAGTCGCAATACACAGTCCATACCTGTAATGAAATGAAAGATTGTTTAGCTGACGTCAGTTTACTTAGCAAAGTGAAACCCCTTCTCCTGGCTCTGCGTGTGCCCGCAAAGCAACAGGTTATTAGAAGTTTGTGGTATTTCACTAACGCCGTATGTTGTAACAATGGCCAGCCATACCCTTCCGTAGACTGACTGTGTGTGCTTTAAGGCTGCCTCACCCAATACCTGAAAACCATGTAAGCCATTAGTTATTCACGGATACCCTAATACTGTTAATGAAGCCATCTTCTGTGTTATGTGCGTAGGTCTCATCATGTGTAGCGTGGTTGTCAATGATGGAGCAGGCTGCAGGCTTGTTAGCATCATTGTTTGTCACTGTTGCTTGGCTTTCCTCCTACTCGTGCAGTCCTTGATCAGAGGTTTCGGAGTGAGCTGTGGAAGCAGATGATTCTTGCAACTGCGCTGGTACTAACCTTGCTAACGGTACAAGATCGCTATCGCTATAACTACTCTCGGAAGAAGACCTTTGTCTTGGCGGAATGGCTTCCTCCTCCGCATCAGAATCGTCACTAGGGCTGTAGCTGTCGCTCCTCATCGAATAGACTACTGTTGCCTGTCGCAGTGGCTGCTTTCTAGCAGCCCTTGTCAACGCGCGCTCCCTTGGGTGTGACCTCCGTGCTGGCTTTAGTTGTGGCTTCAGTTATGACTTCAGTCGTGGCTTCTTTTGTGGATCTGGTCGTGACCTCATCTCGTGGCTGATCCCAGCGTAACCACGGATAAGCAGCTCGGATGTTATCAACATGGGAGGTGACTTGGCGATGCGTCGTCTCGTGTTGTAAAAGAAATTTCTTAGGTGTTATTATTTTGGTTACTGTATAATACGCTTTCCACGGGCTATTTAGCTTGTGGCTTGTCTCGGGCTTCAGTACTGGATCGTGGTAGAATACCGGATCTCCTACCCTGAATTCCTGAAGCCTTGCTCTTTTGTCGTAGAGCTTCTTTTTATGGCTTCTCATCTCTTGTGTTGCCGTTCGCATGTGCGCATACGCATGGTGGAACCTCTCCAGTGTTTGCGAAATCGGTTCCTCGTCGTACGACTTTCTTCTTGGTAATAACAAGTTATCTATAGGTAATACCGGTGCTCGGCCGTACACTAAATATAAAGGACTGTGATGCAACGTAGTTTAAATAGCGGACCGATATGCTAATAATAGTGGCAGTAACAACAGGTCCCAGGACGTTTGAGTGGCGTCAACATAGTGCGAAATCATTGAGTTTAAAACCCTGTGGAAACGCTCGTTTGCGCCATTTGAAGCAGGGTGGTAGGGCGTGCACGTTATGGCCTTTATTTGGAAATGTTCCGTCACTTTATCCATTATTTTATTGCAAAACTCGGTGCCAATATCGGAAAGCAGAATCCTCGGACAGGAATGTCTCGGGATTATCTCGTTAATCAGTAGGTTAGCTATGGTTTCGGCCGACTTATCACGGACCGCAAAAACTTCCAGCCAGCTGGTATACAAATCATGAAAGTGGATTAAGTATCGAATTTCCACGAGCTGTCATAGGAAACTGACAAGTGTC